CTGTCGCCCTATCTGTGAGATATGAGTTTTCAGATTCTTTTGAATTACAGTCCTTTGCATAATCTGGCAAAAATTGTTTTTAAAAAATTAAATTCTGTTGAGAGTTCATGTTCTTCTACAGAAATGAATAGAGTAAAAGTGGGTTCCTAAAGTGGATCATTTTATTGAGCTTTCGTTTGTCATTTAAGGTGGGGTAATTATTATTACAATGTTTAAAACCTTAGTGCTGACTTTGGTTGTTCCTTTCTAGATAAGTTAAACTAATACATCGGATTTTTGGCATTGCTTTGACCCATATCAATTAATTTTTTTCTTTGTTCACTATATTTATTTAGGTGATTTATATGGTGCTGTAGGTTCACCAGTCAGAATGACAAGGACAGTAATTGTTGGAAAACATAAGGATTTTGTTCAGCGCATACTCTATGTCCTCACATATTTCTTACGGTGCTCTGAGTTGCAAGAGAATCACCTGATCTGGAATGGGCAGGTTGGCAGAGGAGAGCAAGCTGTGAATGGTAGCAAAATTATGACAACACTAGAAAAGGGAGAAGTTGAAGAATCCGATTATGTGGTTGTCACAATTCAAAACGAACCTGCTCTTGTACCGCCTGTCCTGCCTCAAAAGAGTGATAGTGATGCTGCTGCTGCTGCTGCTGCTACTGGGAAATATGAGGGCTGCTTTGAATCTGCCTGCTTCAAGGGCAAGCATGAGAGGCTGAATGCTGGATGCAGTTCTGAAGCATCCCCTTGCTTCTCCAGAGTTGGTTCCCCAAAAGGAATTGTAGGGGAAGTTAAAAAGGGGAAAGCTGTAGCCAATTCAGAACCCATATGTGGAAGGCATGATAAATTAGAGGATTTAACTGCAAGAATGAATGAGGGCAAGCAGCACAGTGTAACGGGACAGTTGTTTCACAACTTGGCAGCTGTTCCACATCCCAAGAAGATTGCCCAGATGTATTCTCAATTGGAAAAGGTTACCTTCCAGATTGGAAGCTCCACCTCACCAGAATCTGATTCTGAAAGCCAAAGAACGGAAGTAAACAAAACTATGGAGAAACGCAGGAGTAAAACTAAACCTCTATGTGCCCTATCAAGTCCGGTACATATAACATCCAGGACCCCACAAGAGAAATCTGACTTATGTCTTAAAGCCTGTACTAGCCAGAAAGTTAGTGAAACACAAATATCAAGTGCACCTTGGCTGCTGTCAGTTCCACAGTCTGCCATTCCTGATAGAAAAATCAGAACTGTAAACCTGGGAAAACTAGATCAAGTTTATAGTACAAGTTGTGAAAACTTTGAAGGAAATTCTCTTGACTGTGATTCAGGACGTTCCATTGATGTACAGAGGTCTGGCCAAGCAGTTACTAAGAGCATCCCCTGTGGGGATATTGAAAGCAAACACCATTGTAGAATGGAAGAGGACATTCCTAGAAACGAAAGTTCTGATAGTGCTCTTGGAGAGAGTGATGATGAAGGTTGCACGTACATTCCAGATGAGCAGTCAGTCATCTCTGTTAACTGTAGACCTGAAGAACTTTTAGAAGTGGAACTTGCCTTGCCAAGGTAAAGGAAAAAATAATAATAATCAGAACTTCTGAGGGTTGTTTTAGTTTTAGCTTTTTGCACTGTTCTGAGATAGTTATTGGGTAGTCTGATGGAATATGTAGCCTATCATCTCCAGCTTAATGCTTTCCCAGAATGTTTGACTTTAATTCCACTGATTCCTAGCCAGAACAGTGGAATCTTAAATTTAAATCTTTAGCTTGGGAAAGGCTGCATTTACCCATCTAACCTAGCCACAATTTTTTATATGTACTAATACTAATAGCGTAGTGAGAATTTGTACACATTGTTATTACTTTTACATGTATGCATACCCCATCATTGTTATTTCCTTTCTGGAGAAGA